CTCAAAGATGAATCTTATCAAAAACTCACTCAGATCTGCAATGATCCAGGATAGAGTTCAGTCTTAGATCACATCCCTGATTCCCTTAATCTGGCCCTAATTGGTCAGTGTCTGTTATTTTGTGACAGTGGATGTTCAGATGCTTCTAACTCAACAGAGCGTGTGACCACGCGGGCAGAAAATAAATATAATTATTTCTTTGGAAAAAAACAGAGCAAAATTCTTGTTAAAATGTCAATCGGTGTTTTACTGGCTCGTTCAATAGCAGCTTGTGTTCAATCAAATTCCACTCTGTGTCCAGATTAGTTTTTTTCTAAAGGGAAGGGAGGTGGGGGGTGGTAGGGAGTGATCAATACACTGGCTGCTTTATTCCACGTCGCCACAGAATCTCCTGACTACAAACCATTGCTGAGCCAAGTGCTGATACATCCAAGTCCTGGACCTTCAGACTTAGCAGCCTTCCCCGGCCCCCCCCCACCCACCCTCACATACACATAATACTTAAACATGGCTGAACTCCAGCCCCCGCCATCTGATGGGTTATTAACCTAAGTGCCGTTTCATTTTCCAAGCTCCACTGACAAGAGTCCTTGAGCGAGAGCAAGTGTGTACATCAACGTCCCATTTTCTCCGGCCTCTCACGGGCACTGACTCAGGAATCAATCCTCTTGTGGGAAATACTGTCCCTTCACCTCTGGGGCCCTGGGTTTCAATGCAGCCTGAACTAAACAGATCTGAATAGCTCAGCTCAGAGCTGCCTCTCTAACATTGTTTGGAAAATCCTATGTGAAATGGGGTGAATCTCAAACTAGTTCCGCAAAGCCATTAAACCAAAGGACAAACAATTGCCTCTCCAGTCACAATTTACAACCATCACACAGAGACATCTTTTTTTTATATATAAAAATAGATCAACAACTGTTTGTGGGACTCTGCTGTGCGCAATTGGCTATCATGTTTCACCCCAAAAATATACAGGCAATTCACTTTACTATATATTCTGTGAAGCGCTTTGAGACGTCTCAATGATGTGCAAAGGTGCTATATCAAATGCAATGAATATTATTATTATTATAATTTCCTGGTTATTCATCACTGGTTACTGCCCTTTGCCTTGGCACAGCAACACAAACAGTGGACGGCTTACATGAGAACTCTGAATCTCTGGTACTAACCCATCCTGCCTGGGTCTCTTCCCATTTCTGGGTCACACAGTTGCAGTTTAAGCCCTGTGTCGGGGATTTGAGCTGCAGGCTGACATTTACAGTAGAGCGCTGGGAGGAGCTCTACACTATAGTAGATCCTGTGCTTTGAAGAAGACATTATACCGAGGTCTCGTTTGCCTGTCCAGGTGGACATTAAAGATCCTGTGGCATTAATGGGGGAAAAAAAGGAGAAGGGAGCTTCTCCTGGTGTCCTGGCCAAAAATAACCTAATTTAGAGTTCTTTGTGGGTCCTTGTTGATGCAGACTAGTTTGTTAGTTGCATTTCCCTACAGTTCCAGTCCCTTCTGAAAGGTTTACAATGTTTTGATGGGATAAGGTGCTGTAAAAATGGACATTTTTATTCAAATCTCTAAACTTTTTGTTATTTTAGCTCTGGATGGGATGTCTGAATGAATTTGTTGTCGTCGTCGTTCTTAGCAATCCCCCGGATAAAATCCGCAACTGTTTGTGGGACGCTGCTGTGCGCAAACTGTCTGCCGCGTTTCACCCACAAAATACACAAACACTCCACTTTACATTGTATCCTATGAAGTGCTTTGAGACATCTCAACGATGTGATAAGTCTCTTTATGAAATGCTAGGATGATGATTATTATTATTATTGGATCCATGGGGTGGGGAAAGAGAGAGGAGAAGGGGAAGAGAGAGGGGGTGGGTGGGGGTGAGACAGAGAGTGTGGGGGTGGGCGAAGAGAGGAGATTCAAATCAGTAATTCCTTGAAGTGGAGTTCTCTATTCCTTAGAGTGAGAAGATAGTTCAGGGATCTAGGATTTGTCCAGGATTTGTCAACTAAACTGACATGTTTAGTTGTTTCCCTCTGCCTTTACCTGATCTTCTCCTGAAAGTCTGTCTGATTGTGTGTACAGAGGAGTGAGATCATTTCTGTGTGAATGTTAAGTCTCACGTTGCCACAAATGTAACGTGACTGAAATCGATATTTTTAAAAAAAATACAGAGAAAACGATTGGTAATAAAAAGACAAATAATCAATATTCCAGATAAAGAAGAGAGAAACATCCCGGGCTGAAGGATGGCTCGATAATTATTTTACAATAGTATTGGGATCCGGTTTTTCATTGCTTGAAACTGACCACATCTGCGGTCCATAATAGCCTCAATACTCTTTAGTTTTCTATCAACTCTTCCAATACAGTCTCCTCTCCCTCAGTCTCTTTACATTTCAGTTTAGCACATTTCTACCTCTTTTACCGATATTTCGTTTGGCGTTATCCTCCGAAATGTCCGGGTGATCCTTTGCAAAAAGATTATTACTGAAGTTGCAATTTAAGGATTATTGGTATTATTCTTTAAATGCAAGTATTGTTAGCAATGGAAGGATTAATAGTATTAAAATGTTTAATATTGAGAGAGAGAGAGACCAGACGAGGCTGAAATGAGAAGAATTCACTGTTGTCAGTCTGACTTTTCATTCTCTCCTCGTGTTTGTTAATATCCCAGCTCCCTTTTCCCAAGGAAATTCCTGGCTGTTACTTCATCTCCTATTGATTTCGACATCCTATCTCTCTCTCTCTCCCCCCCTCCCAAATCCATCCCCATCCAACCCAACCTCAGTCACTCGATACCTAGAAAAAAAAGGGGCAAAACATCGAAGAAAATCATTAAACAGGTAATTAATAACAGAGGCATCTGCAGCTGCAAATATCGTAACCGTTATCCCATTTTCATTGCAAAAAACCCAACTCTGGAAAGATTTTCTTCGCTTCTTTTTTGGGTGGTGGGGGGGGGGGGGGGGTGAGAAAAATCCAGCAATAAAGAATAAAACTACATACCAACAACGGTGGGTTAGATTAGTCAGCGAATGTCCCTCCAGTGCCACAATCCACACATTTGTTTAATTTAACACAATTAGCAAACCTCGTGCAAATAAATTACACAAATAACTGACGACCCCCCACCCGATCCACACACACTTCCCCTAATTAAACCCATTATCGGAGGGAGGAGGAGGGGGGGGTTATTCTTAAATGTTTGCAGTAATGGTGATTACACTTAATAAAGCAATATCAAGTCAGTCTGGGCAAATTAATGGGATTGTAATAACAAATAATAATTATTATTATTATTATGGGATTATACTTGTTATAGAGCGGTTCACCTGTTCTCTCTCTCTGTCTCATTCAATCCAGATTTATTTGACCTCGTGTTTCCCAACTGGATCCCAAGACCCAGAGTCCGAGATCAGAGCCACGGAATGTTTAGAAACCATCTCTGTGCTTCGGATGGGACGATGGCGGTGGTTTTGGTGTTGTGTAAGAGAGGGAACCAATCTGTACCTCATTCTAATTCTCAGTAAAATCACCATTTCATTGAGAAGCAGCGTTAGTTTTTTTTTTTGGGGGGGGGGGGCGATAAAAATAAGGTTGGCATCAGTGAACAATTAATTATTCCCCAATTTTCTCTTCCTCGAATTCCATTGCTTGTTCCATCCACAACCCAACTTACATCACCACCTCCCAGCCATGTCCTGGTGACCAATACATACACTCTCCAGCAGGGGGCAGGAAAGGGGCGGATGCACCCCTGGCTGTGTCTCTCTCTGTAGCCCAGTGACACTGATAGGGCAATTATCATGATCTCACCGCACTGTCTGTTCAGTCTTGCGAAGACCAGTTGTGCGAGAAGGAGCCCCTCCTGGTCTCTATAACTGATGGCCTTCACCAGGTTTATGTTGGGTTATTATTAACTGCCCCCTCACTTTGTCTCATATTTCTTAATACCCCTAAACTGGTGCCTCCAGTGACATAGAATCTATAGCACCCAACTGGACTATTGGGACCAATGTCCTTACCAGCGCTTATAATGCCCATCACACCACTTACACCCATCTTCCATAAGTGTTTCACCCACAAGATACACAGCCAACCCAAGTTACGGTGTATTCTGTGAAGAGTATTGAGCTATTTCACCGACTGATAAGACCCTATATCAAATGCCAGGATTATTAATATCATTAAGTGGGCATTGCGAAGGACATCTTAAACACTGATGTTTTCTGCTTCAACCACAGCTTCTTTGGGAGCGAGTTAACAGCAATCAAAGACCCAATTGTCTTCGAATCCACATCGAAACGTGTCACTGTGATTTAAATCACCCTCCACCCACCCTCTCCCCCCAAACCAGTGAATTCTCCCCCAAGTCAATAAAACGGTTTAAGGCCGATTTTATTTTAAGAACAAAAAATTCACTGAACATTGTTTTTCCAAACGGAACCTTTATACACTGAATCGCCCTTTAAAGTGCTTTTTTTTTAAATAACATCGATAATATACAAAGGTATTTTGTTTTTTTGTTTTTAGTTTCTTAGATTCGGATGAGAAAAAAAGGCAAATAAATAAATTGAAATAAATAAAAAACCCAATAAATTACAACCATTTAAATACTCCACGAAAGAACCAAAAAAGAGAGAAAAAATTCACATTACATGAAGATAAATTGCACATAGCCACTTACTTAATCTTATGGACAATATTTTTTTAAATAAGTGGACATTAAATTCAGACAGGTAGATCCGTAATACTGAAACTCAAGTCAGCGATTTTATCTTTGTTTTTCCCATATAGAAAATCCGGTGATTAGTCCATCCAATGGATATTCACAACCTCCATGTGTTGGTGAGGGCACATTTGACCCATTGCATGTGGTCAATTCGCTCGCTGCTATCTGTGTCTCTCCAGCTTGGGTGTTGGCTGATGTGTGTAGGCGAGGTGTTTGTATTTACAGTTCTGTAGTTTGTCTGTCTGTCCGTCTGTCTGTCCGTCTGTCTGTCCGTCAGTCTGGCCCCTGTCTGGCTCTGGTCACTGAGGCAGGAGAGGTGGCTTGAAGGAACAGTTGCCAGTGCAGTGGCGAGGAGTCAACATCTTACACGAGAAATGGTGTAGAGCATCGTGTGCTTCTGAGGTGCAAAACACACACAGGGGACAATTACACAACTTGCTTGTTCATCTGTCCCCAACACTAGCGCCCATTCCCTCCTCCTCTCTCCCTCCCTCGTGACTCACCCATTACTCTAATAAAGCTATTATTAGTATTAGTATTATTAACTGATTAATCTAGTCCTCCTCCTCTCACTCACTCGCTCATTGACACCAATAAAGCTATTATTATTATTATTAATACAGATATTACTTGCGGGTTTTATGCCTCTACGTTCAATCAATCGATAAGTTGAATTTTTCATCGTTTTAAAATCTGCCCCATGACTGCCCTTTATATCATATATATATCTATTTTTGTTTTTTTATATATAAATATACACCCAGTTCCTTTCTCATCTTTAAATGACTCGTTCTATCACACACAGAGTCACCTACATCTCAAGATTGCAATTAATTAATTAACTGGATCCAGGATTTCAATTACTTTTTGTTGGCTTCAACCTTAGTCCATTTAACTTACCTTAATTTAACGCCCCCCCTCCGCCCCCTTTTCTCTCAAATTAACACGGTGTCTTTTCTCCCCAAACACTCAATCTATATTTTTCCTGTTCCTTCAAGTCTGATCTGACTTGAAGTCACTTCTTTGTAACAGCCTGAGCTTTAATCTATGTCCACGTTCGCTATGAAGAGTTAAACTGCATCCCTCTCTCTCACCCACCCACCCCCTTTCCCCCCTCAAAATAGATTATTATAACGGGAATAAACTGTACCTTTTAACTTCTGTTGGATGGCGTAACGCGCCTTTCTCTCTTGGTCCAACTCGTTGCATAATGTGTCTGTCCAATAAAAACATACCCAAATCGTTAAGTGTGGCTGTTAGTAGTCAGGACATCTTAGCAGCAAAAAGTTGGTGAACTTTAATATTTTAACAAAAATACATCTGTAAAAGTCTCTCACCTCCCAACCCCAAACACAAGTCAGCTCTGGGTGGGCAGATCAAATAAGGTCCTTATAATAAAACAAATGATTAGACTATTATTTAGGCTCAAGGTTCTGTGCTTGTGCAAGCTACAAATTGTGCTGAATTTCCAGTTGAAAATTAAAGCAAAGTTAAGCACTACTTCGCAGGTAATTTTACGCCTCGATTTTTAATTTAGACAACACGGAATTGCAGTGGTGGGGAGAGAGAGAGAGAGAGCGGTTCAATCAACTCTCTGTAATGATGCCTTCAAGCCGTTTTGTACATGGGATTGAGAGGCGAAAGCTAATCAGCCCCTCGTCTGCCCAGAGAGAGATACACACACTCACACACACACAGACCAAGGCAGGGGTTTGCAATAACAAAAAGGTCAGCGCGATTACAAGGGGAAATATTAAACAAATAATTTAACTGTAAGTTGCTTAATGCTTGGTTGAGGCACTCAATGAAGGGTGTTCAGATCAGGCCAGTAAACAGGAACATGTGATTTCATTTTTTTTACCTCTAACGATTTGGAGTTGTTGAACCATTTCTTCTCTGTAAGCCAATTCCCTCTTCATTTGATCCTGAAAACTGTCTGCAATAAGAAGTAGGACAGATTTCCTAGTGAATATTTATTGACACATTTTCCCTACTTTCATCCAGAATAGACTCGATGGGCCGAATGGCCTCCTTCTGTGCTTGTCATTTCTCTATGATCCTATTCTAATAGATTTTTTTTTAAACATACAGTTTTTAAAAAAAGGTTTCCTCTTAACCTTGACTGTTAGATTTAATCTCAATTAATGAAAACATCCCTCTCCCTCTCTCTCTCTCTTGCTCCCTCTCTCTCTCATGACTTGTAATTCCGTTTTCTTTTCCCTTTTTTCAAAGATAGCGGTTAATTGCTTTTTTAAGTATTAAAAGTTAATATAAAAATTAATTTATAAACCCTGAATTGGATTAGTAAAGCGGAAGTGTATGAGCACATTTTTAAAAATGTAATTGTGGCCAATTACAAAAAGACTTTTTCATACTAAGTTACAAATAAATATAACTATGGTCATCTATACATATAAATAAATATAAATAACCTATAAATAAATATGGTAATTGTAAAATTGTGCTAATTTGGTAAGTGTACATTAAAAGTGCAACAGATTTAATCTGGTGTAGCATTGGTTGTACCAATGACTGGGCTGTTCCTAATGCAAATCTTCCTGAAAGTCTTCAAGCATAAAATATACCAGAATCGGGGTGGCTAGAACCTACCTTTCAGACTTTGAAATTCCCTCTCCAGTTTCTTCCTCAGGTCCATTTGTTCCAGAAGTAATTTTTGTAATTCTTCTGAAATGGGAATGTGGGAGCGACAAAGAGGGGGAGAGAGAAATGGTGGGTGTTATATACAGTATATATAGTGATTAGGTTAACACTGAGACAAACCCTAACCCATACGTTGAATGGATTATAATCAAATTATATATTTTAATAATTATAATAACAATCTTTGCATTTGATACAGCGCCTTATGACATCTTCAAGACGTCTCAAAGGGCTTCACAGAATATACTGTAAAGTAAATTGACTGTATATTTTGTGGGCGAGTGTGTACACGTGTTTAGTTTGGTAATTGGGGTCCTGACTTTTTTTTAATATCACTCTCTTAAATTTTGTATAATTTTAAAGCCCATTTTAGATGCAGGGAAGCGACGATCACATTCAAGTGACGTGTGTTCTTCGCAATGGTCCTGTTCATTGTCTGGTATACTGTATATTATATATTTATTACATATATAATTAAGGCAACTTCAGTAGTTTATTCAACTATAATGCATACTGCAGTCTCATTAGCTTCCCGACCTCCCCACAGCGCGTCTCCTCACTCCACCAATAGCGCACATCTCTCTCTCTCTCTCTCTCTCTCTCCCACATGTTCGCTATTGACAGCGAATGCGCTGCACACAATTATACAACCTTAGGGATCTGCGATTCCCCGGTGGCGCTTAAGTAAACGCCAGTTTGTAATTATATACAACAGACCCGAGGTGTTCCAGGCAAATAATAATAATAATAAAAAAGCAACCTCGATTCACAAAATCCCAACTCGACAAGTCACCCAATGGACATTGATTTATAAAGCAAAACTCCCACTGTACTATATCGCCAAGTCTCTCTCTCTCACACAAAATATTTTTACACTTGACCTGGATGTTTGGAGTGTTAAACGTGCTCACCGGGTTAGCAATAATAATAACAATGCTTGTATTTGATATTATTCAATATTATTTAAAATATTATTAAATGCAAGTATTATGATTATTGTTATTATCATCATCTAGTTTATTTGCAATTCTAACCAAACCAGACAATTGGGATTTTCATCCAGAAACAAACCCGTTGCCATAATCACACACTGACCTGTGAATGTGGGCACTTTAGTAAGTACAGCATTCCCTCATGTAAATGACTGCTTGTTATTTCTGATCTGAAATGTAGGTTACCATTTCTTATCGCTCCCTCGATAATAGTTATGTAAGTGTTTTTGGTTTTCTGGGTTTAAAAGTTATCTAAAAATATATTTAATAAAAAAATAAAAACAACTCAAATAATTTTACCTTTTAATTAATTAATTCGTTCAATTTCAATTCAACTTAATCCGAATTGACATCTTTTTGGGGGGAAGGTGGTGGGAGACGCCTCTCTCCATCACTTTGTGCCTGGATACATTAACGACTATATCATGTAGTATTATCCGTGTTATATATTATTTTACTTTAAATAAATACACTCGCGCCTCTTGGATTCTGCTAAACAGCGTTTGGAGAGATCTGTGACTCAATTAATCAATATTTTTTTAAAAAAAGCTTAAAACAGCGTCTGCACCGGTGATGAGAAACCGTTTTCAAATCCATCTTCAGTCACTTACGCAGTTGTGTTTGTTCAACAAAAAAAAATCAAGAAAAATGAACGATTTACGAATAATTGCTTCAAGTAAAAAAAACATACAACTAAATTAGCCATGCAAAATTGCAAAAAAAAACTATCCTAGGAATTCTAATTGTGCACAAAATACAGTCAATTTACTTTGCAGTGTATTTTGTGAAGCGCTTTGAGACATCTCGGAGATGCGATAAGGCACTATACCAAATGCAAGGATTATTATTAATATTATAAATATCAGGCAGACACTGGCACTCCCAAGTCTCCCATGTTGCTGGGTTCCATTGCTGAGATGATAAATGAACACCATACAGTCATATATAAATACATATAGATATATATATACACACATACACACCTTTTGTCATGTTCTCTATGTCTTTTTCCACCAGTTGGGTCCTGGGGGTATCCAGTCTTAGAACATCTTCACCTACGGGAAGAGCACAGCAATATAATAATAATAATCCTTGCAATTAATACAGCACTTAATCACGTCTTCGAGACGTCTCAAAGCGCAACACAGAATATACTGTAAAGTGAATTGACTGTGTATTTTGTGGGCGAAACGCAGCAGCCAATTGCGCACAGCAGCGGCCCCGCAAACAGTCGTGGATTGAGTGAACAATTTTTTTAATTTATTTTTTATTTTCGATGGATTAAATATAAATGGATCACTTATTATTCCGTAGGTCGGGTATATAAACAGTTGAATCAAGAGTATGACAACTCTATCATAAAAATCACACACACACACACACACACGTGGCGGATCAGAAAGTCTGTGAGAGCTAATTCCTCAAGACGGGAGGGGGATATGTATCGTTGGGATAGACCTTACTGTTAGTGCTGTCATGACTTGGCTTAGCTGGCACCTGACCTGCCCAGAACACACTAAATAAAATAAGTTCGGAAAAATACTGTCTGTAAAGTTTATGATCGAGAGCGTCAGATATAGCAAGTGGCAAGTTACGGCTTTTAAAAAAAGAATTGTGTGAAATAAATGTTTGTTGGAGTGTTGTGCAACACTGCCCGCAGCTTCTCAGAGAAAACTGATGTAGAAAATAAAAATAAAAATGGACATTTAGTCATCGTCAACCGTTTGAAGGTGGTGGAAAATGGTACATGCAATGCAAAGGCTCAGACACACACACACACACATATATATATACACACACACAGACATAAACACAAACACACACACATATATATAATCCTTACCCATTTGAGATGCATGTATATATATTAATAATAATAATTCTTGCATTTGATATAGCATATATGTGTATATATATATGAAACGAGTAAGGATTAAACATATATCTAAAATCCTATACATATATTATATATGTGCACATGTGTAAGGATTATGTGTGTATATGTGGATCATCCAGTGATGGCTGTATTGTAATGATACTGATGGTTGGTTGGGGTTGGGCTCAGACCCTCACCACGCTCAGTGCTTCCCGAGCCCTCCTGCCCCGGGTTGCTCTGCTCCTGATAGGATTTCCTGGTTTCCAAATCTTCCGCCGCCGCCACCACCACCGGATTGTCATCTTTACCTAAATCTGAAATACAATAAATACAGGAAACCCGCGTTTGAGAAGAAGCGAAATAAAGAGTGGCCCCAACTCACTCCCCTCTAATAGTACGGGGAAGATGCATGTGTATTATATACAAATGATATATATTCTTACCCATTTGATATATACAAACACATTACACACACACATGTAGATATATATATATATATTATATTTCTATACGTGTGTGTGTGTGTGTATATAAGTCACATTAGCGGTTGGGGGAATTGTCCTGATCTGTCAAAGCAGCTCGTTTATAAAACTATTTATAAAAAATCTCAGGTCACCTCAACCAACACAGACACAAACAACATTCAAAACATCCAGGTGAAGTCGCTCAACCGCAAAGGGTAATTCCCTGAAACCTCTCTTCCGCACAATAAATGGTGGCAATTGTTCGTCAGCTTTATCAAGTCCAAATTGTTTCGTGACTATTAATTGCAACCAGCTCTAAATCCGTTGGCATATCTTTATTTTAAAAGCAAAGTTTCCCTTATTTCTCAAATTATTTCCTGGCAGCGTTGTTACTCTCCACCTGAAACACACTCTTTCCTTCTCAAGTTTGGAACTCTATTAAAACAGTGATCATTTTCTCCCCCTCCCCTTCTCCCCCTCCCCTCACACACACACACACACAAAGGGGGTTCATCTACCAACACCCAGAAAAGTTCCCTGTCTTGTGTAAAAATTAGACGAGCTATGCTTTGGGGTAGGATAGCCAGATGTTAGTTACCGTTTGTATCTGTGTCACACAGGTAAGTGGGAGCCAGAATCAGAGTAGAAGGAGTTTTCAATGTGTGTAGATGCCCTTCATTCTCATGTGAAAATACCTGCAGGTAAATAAATAACGAGAGGGAAATGAGATGGCTTTTTAAAATCATTTATTATTAACATTATTATTATTATTATTATATTATTCAGATTAATAATGCTGACATTTGATATAGCGATTTTTTTCACAGCGGTTGGGACGTCTCAAAGCGCTTCACAAGATTTTCCTGTCAAGTGTAGTGACTGTATTTCGTAAAGGGGGGGGGAAGGGAGGCAGCAGTCACTCATAAGGTAGCCATCGGGAATTAACAATTTTATCGCGGGGGGGGGGGGGGGGGGGGGGGGGCTGGATCCCGGATCCCGAGAGAAACTCCCTTCTCTTTAATGTTTAATATCCACTTGAACTCATAGAGTTTCACCTCTTCTGATTCTGGAAGGGTCGACACCTTGGACGATGCAGTAAACCCCCCCCACACACACACACACCACTGCACGAGAGTGTCAGCCTGGACTATATAAGATCAAAGTCCCAACATGGGGGGGTGGGGGGGGGTTGAACCCACATAACCTTCTGCCTCAAAAGGCGGAGAGAGAGTGCTACCAATTGGAGACAGGCTGACAATTTTACCCAACGATAACCCTTAAGACACGTCAACAAGAGATGACCCCCCCCCCCCCCCACCACCACCACCTCCCACCACCCAAACAAAAAACATCCACAGCGACCCAATCCCAACCCTCTTTAATTTATTTGCAATACAAACATGTCATGTCCAGGAGAGGCAATGAGGGTTTTCTTTTAAACTGAAAATAAATTGACAAATGTTTTTGACCCAGTAACAAGGAGTGGGTGTGTGGGTGTGTGTGTGTTTTACACCAGCACTGACCTGAAGTCCCCAGCCGCTATTAAAAATCTATTTGCGCCCCTCGGATTTAATAAATGCAATTATGGGCATTTGAAGGAAAAAAAAATCACTCAAATTAAAAAAAAAGAGAGCAAGGCAGACATCACAAGAGCACAGAGCCGCTCACTCACTCACTCACTCACTCGCTCACTCACCCTCTCACCCCCACACGCTCTCTCTTTCTCTCTCTCTCTGTCTCTCACACATTTTCTCTCTCACACTCTCTGTCTCATTCTATCTCTCTCTCTCTCGCACACACACGCACACACAGTTTCTCTCTCTCTCACTCACTCTCTCAGTTACATTTCAGCTGCGTTCAAGGAGCGCTCCCCTACAATTTAGTTAATTACACGGATTTCAATGCGCCTTTGGGTGATTTTTTTTTGTGGAATTGTTCACTTTGTTGCTCGTAAAATGCGCCATGTGATAAACTCCTCTCTCCGCATTCTGGGCTCAGCCGTTTCTCTTTCCCCCCTTTTAAAATAATTAAAACAAAACAACCACAATATAATTTTTCAATGCAAATAAGAAGTATTCAGCATCCCTCCCTCCCTCCCCCCCCCTCCCTCCCCCCCCCCTCCCTCCCCCCCCCCCCCCCCCTCCCTCCCTCCGTCCCCCCTCCTCTCTCTTTCTCCCAACCAAATAAATATTGGGCGGTAATTTCGTTTCGGAACGGGTTTAGAAATTGGTCCACAGTCTATTCACTTTACAGTATATTCTGTGAAGCGTTTTGAGACGTCTCGAAGACGCGATAAGGCGCCATATCATCAAATGCCAGAATTATTATGATTGTTATTATTGATGGATGGATCTACCTCATGGCTTTTGCTTTCCTCTAAAGCCTTCTCGCTCTCCCTCACATCGCCCACCGCCTTCTCGACATATGTTGCTGCTCTTGGGGTGTCGGCCCGGTTTGTGGGTGACTCGTGTGTGGGTTCCGGATTAACGGGGGGATCTTGATGTGGGGTTTCGGGCTCTTGAAGGTTCTCAACGGCCTGTGGAGAAGCCTCATCTTCTGGGCATCTGTTGGATTCCACGTCCACCTCAGGCTCTTCCCCATCGCTCTCCGCCTCGGGAGACACGGACCTAAAACTGGAACTCTCGCTCATAAAATCAGGGGACACATACCCGGGCCTCGCCCCATTATACACCTCTCGGTTGCCGTACAGTTTAGCGATGCTCTCGGCATCTTTGACCACAGGTCGGAAGGCCGAGATGTAGTTGAGCTTGCGAGGAGTCAAGGATATGCCCTCGATGGACCTGGCCTCATCTCCAGACCTGTCCTCCTCGTTTCTGGAGTGAGTACTCGAGCATCTCTCACTGTCCACCAAGCTATCTTTGGGTGTGTTGGTGCTCCGGTCACTTTGCTCTGAGACATCCATCTCACTCTGCCTGGCGTTCAGGGCTTCACCCACTTTGGCTTGGGTCGCCTGTGGGTAGGGAGGCACCGGCAGGTTGCCCGCCGTTGGCCAGAACATTGGGAAGGATGGATAGACCGCGTCCTTGCCTCCCGGCCAGAACACGCCAGGCAGGTTCCCCTGTTTCTGTTCCACCACTGAGTTGTTGTCATCCTTCTTCTGACACAGCCCGAAGGCCGGGAATCCGTAGGGATGTGGGAATATGGGGGGAGGGATCTTCTGGAGCATCCCAAAGCCCTTACTGGGCACCGGGATGACCGGATAGCTCCTCAAACCGGCGCCCAAGTTCAAGCTGCGACCTTCCTCCTCGCAGCGGAGGGCTTTGTGAGGGATATCTGGGTTCCTGTGAGGGATGTTGCTGGTTCCTTGGGGTTTCAGGTTAGAGGAGTCCCTGGAGCTGTGGTGGTGGTGGTGGTGAGGGAGAGTCCTTTTGCGGCTCCCCCCATTGAACATGGCCTTCACATCTTCCCAAGCATGAGCCAAATAGTCACTGGGACTCTTGTCAGACAGCTTGAGGTGTCTTCGCCAGGAATTGAAGTTAGCCGCGTCTGGTTGGGTATACTTAGCCTCGGCGACTCTGTGAGAATGGAAGATGAATTTATTGGGAGAAAAATACATATTACAATAGGTACATTTGATGCACTTGGCTCGAGAGCTGTTGTACCTGGCGGGGATGAAGTTGCCACGGCAACCCCAGGCGCACTCGTGGGACACATCGAATGCAAAATTCTCGGGCAGTTTGGGGGGCGAGTGCTCGCCCAGAAATGACTTGCAAAGCCTCTCGGCTTCCCGCTTGGTGATCATGCCACATCTTCGGGAGGAGATAGGCATGGCTCCCGCCCTGCGTAAGATCTCCAGTTGGACCGGGGTGCACTGCACACAGGTGATGCCTAAGGCTACCCTCCTGTTGTGGATCTCGTTGTAGCTGTAGTGTTTGAGCAGGGTGTTGGATATCTGAGCCAGGCACAGTCTCTCTTGGCCGTCTATCACTAAGGAGACAATGGGCAGCCCGTACAGGATGGCTTCGCCCACCGTGTTGGGTTTGAGGTTGCTAGAGCCGGGGGCCAAGTGGTGTTGGTGTTGTTGTTGTTGTGGTGGTTGGCTGTAAGGTTGGAGTTCTTGCTTGGAATTTGTGGAGGACACCGCGTCGTTCACTACTCCCAGCTGACTGGAAATTTTCTCCATTCCGAGTCTTTGATGCAAGTCTTTAAGGGAGAGTGAGGGGGGGGGGGGTGGGGGTGGGGGTGGGGGGAGGAGGGAGGGAAATATATAGAGAGATTTTTTTGAATGCATTACAATATTTGCAGAAAGAAATTATTTTGACAACTATTTTTCTTCCCCCCACCCTCCCCCAAAAACGTCTTTGGTCAATAGAAAGTATGGGGGGGGGGGGGAGAGAAATACATATAGCGGGAGCTTTTTTTTTAATGCATTACAATATCTGCAGCAAAAATTACTTGGTGAACTTTTTTTTGCAAAATAAAAAGTCTTTGATCAATGGAAAGCAGGGAGGGGGAATATAGACAGAGCGTTTCTTTAAAAAAATTGTAAATGCATTAAAATATTTGCAGAAAGAGATGACTTTGAAAACTATTTTTTGGCAATTAAATGAGGAAAAGGCAAGACAACGCACAGAAATCAACTGCAAAATGATTAACGAATAATGCCATGTTTTCTTAGTTTATTAGTAAAAATGATAATAAATAGTAATCCTTGCATTTGATATGATATTCACCGCGTTAACAGCGTGAATCCGGTAATTAACACAGCGAATCGGGCCCTTTTGCGGAAATAGAGACAGACAGAGAGAGAGAGAGAGAGAGAGAGAGAGAGAGGCGGAAAAAAAGAGACTTTTGCAATTTTGCAACGGATTAGAGAAAGAAACGCGATTTTATTTTAAACTGGGTATTAATTTTTTTAAAACCGAAAAAATACATATATTTACCCAATTACCCAATTCCTCTCGTTCCCCCAACAACCAAAATGAAACACGTCGTGTTTTACCTTTTATCAGCTGACTTTGGATACTCTAGTTTTAAATTTACAATATTTCCACACAAACACAAACACACACACACAAAATAAATAACAATCGTTGTTTTTTTCCTTGAAAAAGCAAGTGGAGTTTTTTTTTAAAAAAAACCAAATGACACCTTTTCCCCCTCTTTATTATCTATCTCCTGTTACAGCTCAATTCAAGCTAAAACACACACAGACTGGGGATTTGGAATGATTGTATTTAATGCAAACACTTTCCCCTCAATTTAGCAAGGAACCGTCCCATTTTTGCATTGATTTATCGCCATTAATAACAAAAATTAAAAAAAATTAAGTTGTAATTTAAATGTAGATTTCAGAGTCGCAGTCAGGTGAAGGATTTCTCCTCTGTCCCAGCGCTTTGGGCTGAGGATATCACAGTCCTACTTACCTGTATGGTTTGGTTTCAGAGCGCGAGAAGACCTTGTTTTCTGATCCAAGTTCTAGTCTACGTTAAAAGGGAGGAAATAAGAAAAGAGGGTGGATTTTAGGCTCAGATGCCTTTCATCGCAATTGTAACAATCAAAATCGCAGTTTTAACTTCAATTAATTTCAACTCAGAACATTTTCATCTTAAACTGCAATCCTTACCCCGATTCGCTAAATGTATTTAATGCAAACACACACACACACCCAGAGAGGAGAGACAGGGAGTGTGCGTGAAGCATTCACTGATGTTACTGTAAGGATTATTACGATCAATTAGTAATTTACATTTCAGTGCTGTTTGTTAAAAATCAGAATTTAATCCAAACAGAGAGAGAGAGAGAGAGGGAGAGAGGGAAGGAGAGGAGAGAGAAAGAGAGAGGAGAGAGATAAAGTATTCACCGATGTTACTATCAGGTTTTTTATAGCCAATTAGTATTTAACACCTCACCGCTAGTTTTTATATATATATATCAGATAAATTAATCGGTTTAAAAAATCTGAAATTTATGAAAGCTGTTTATAACCTTTTTCAAATTTAAGGATTTTTTTAAAAAAAGTACGGTATGTATATACACATATATATTTAATAAAATAAAATACGTTTACGCCTCTACCTCTAAACGGCACAGAGGTAATATCCGCACTGATACCTATCCTGACGGGGATTAGCGGGAAGGTTATTTGAGTAAACAGTAAATAGGTAAATAATTAACTCGTAAACAGCACAAGAATACTGGGAAGCGGCGGAATGAGTTTATCGAAGCATCAGAGAGATTTAAATATAATTACACTAAATATCACAGTAAGGCACGATATCAGAATGGTAATACAAGTGCAGTACAGTGTCCCATACTTAAACTCAGGCGAAACACGTTAGCACCTGAGAGAGAGAGAGAGAGAGAGAGAGAGAGAGAGAGAGAGAGAGAGGAGAGAGAGACAGAGAGTGCTAACGAGAGAGAAAGAGAGAGAGAAGGTAATATATAAACGTACCTTTTTTTTAAATAAAATGATTTTAAAAAATCAGCCAACAACGTTCACCAAACAAAGTTGAGGCGAGAACTGAAATAATTTTCCTCCGATCAATTTTTTTATATAATATATATATATATTATATATATATATAAAAACCCTATTCCGCCGAGTTGCAAATTGTAATTCTATCTCGTCCTTTGAAAAGCTTCCCCCCTTGTATTATTTTGGGGAGGGATGGAGTGAAGGAGGGAGGGAGGGAAGGAGGGGTTTGGTTTGGTGGGGGTGGGTGGAGGATGGAGAGAGAGAGAGGGGGTGGGTGGGTGGGTGGGGGGTTGGGGGAGGGGAGAGGTTAAGAGGGGTAAAACACACAGAGAGACAGAAATATGGAGGGAATAATTTTAGGGTCGTTGTGTGGAAGCCATACCCCAAGACTGACGCCTGCTCCTGGTGTGGAGATGGACTGACCACATGGCGGGAGCCTGGCACCTTACTTCCCAGCTGATCCTTACTTGAATACGTTCACATCGATCGGGTGACAGCTAAAATAAAAGGAGAGACACACCCACTTAGCACAAGCCATATTTACATTAACTGTTTGCCTACGGGACGCTCTCTCACGTCAATCACTGTGTTTCTCTCCCCCCCCCCACTCCCCTCCCCTCCCTCTGGAGTCAAATCCAAAACGTTTCTCTTTTTTTCGTCCAAGTTGTATCTCGAGAAAAAAAAACAGAGAGAGAGAGAGTGTGTGTGTGTGTGTGTGTTTGTGAGGGGCGAAGGGAGAGAGAGAGAGAGAGAGAATTGTGTAAGAGAGAGACTGTCACTGAAGGTAAGCCGAATTGCTCTGCGTTTGTCATCATTACCAATCTTCCTGCACCATCAAAACGGTTCAGGTCACACTCTTCTTGTATCCATTTCGTTGAATTACCGGGAGACATAGAGATATACTACATAGAGAGAAATACACACACACACATACATATATATAATCTCTCTCTCTCTATATATCGCATATAGTATGTGTGTATATATATATATATATATAGAGAGAGAGAGAGAGAGAAAGTGGGGTTAAACTAAAACAAAATAACACCGAGGGGGAAACCCCCATTTATTTCACGGCTGTTTATTTTGCTTCACACACACTCACACACTCACAAGTTACAAGTTTAAAATGTTTCTGAATGGAGTTGTCAATCATTTTGAAATGCAAGATACTGGCGTTGAGGGGACACTGGACCAGTCAATGCCAAACACACAACAACAACACCGTTTATTTCCTTTTAACCTTTTAATGTAACTGCACTGAATGGAGAGGGACAGAGAGAGAGAAAGAGAGAAAGGCAGGTGAGAGGGGGGCAGAAAGAGAAGGAAATGGAGAGAAAGAGGTAGGGGGAGAGACAGAGGGAAGGGGAGAGACAGAGGGATGGGGAGAGACAGAGGGATGGGGAGAGACAGAGGGAAGGGGAGAGACAGAGGGATGGGGAGAGACAGAGAGACTTCAGTATGTATTAGGCTCTCAGACTATCGTGCATTCGTGAGGACATTAATATCAATTGACTTATTTTAAACAGGAAAAGGCGCCATGAAATTCGGTAAAGTAAAGTAATTGCAAATACTGTATCAGTTATTAATGGCCGGGTGTATTATATTAGCAATAATAGCCATACCAGATTGCGGGGAGAAGATTTATTTATTGTTATATAAACACTTGGCGTTTAGGATGTGGCCTTGGGGCAACACTGAAGCCTCTCCTCATTGAATTGGGGGAAAGGAGAGGAGAGAGCCGCAGGGCTAACTTTTTAAAGGGATAGCGATCGTTCTGGTTGTGTGTCTGTCTGTCTGTGTGTCTGTCTGTCTGTCTGTCTGTCTGTCCACACACAGCAGCTTTTAGGGAAAGCAATGGGAAAACTACAATACAATAATCCCCGTTTGCATAACATTCCCTTCAATTACAATCTACTCCGACACAAATTACAGACTCCCCAAGGCAGCAGATAAACGCAGTCACATTAGAAAGACAATACCTTTTAAACAAATATATATATACACACACACAATATATATAGTCTTTATTAATAATATATAATATACTGTATATAAACAAAATAAATTCTATCTCTGAAATGTAAGTAAATACCACACAGAAGGTTATTATTATTTGTTTGGCTGTTTTTTTTGGTACGCTGCGATTTATTTCTTTTTAGAAACCTGCAATATATATATATATTATATAATTGCGATCCTTTTAAAATAACAGTTCTGTAGCGAGATCTCCATCTCTCTTTCCCTAACGTGTCTTTAGACGTGTGTATGTGAGTGTGTGTGAGTCTCTGTGTGTATATGTGTGTGTGCTCTGGGGCTGAGGCTGATTTTTTTCTGTGTACATAAACACTCTGATATATTTGCCCAATACTCTGTGGTAAGTGGTGTAACGCGATGCTGCCTCGATTAACTATTTATACTCTGATCAATAACTATCATTTAGCCCCTACCGGGCAAACACACGGCTGCGCTCAATTGTCAATATGACTCCATGTCCTAAACTGGGAATAAATACAAACCAGAAAACGACCAGAAAAATTGTCCTGGTTTGAAATTCCTCCCAACTTCAGGGACAATTGTGAGCGCCTTTTCCCCCCTATATAAAACAGTTAGGTTAATATGAAGTGGTGTAAATTAAGGCGTAGATCAATGCAGCCAGAATGCTATCTATTTATTTTTAAAACCAGCGAAAGATATTGGACATGGCCTGTTTCTTTTTGAATACTGGATTTCTTACTGTAGTTTACACATAAAAGTGCAGAGATACCTGACACACACACACACACAAACACACACTGAGGAGTGATATCGGTGTAAAGCACAAACATACTACATTAGGAGATAATTATGTGTGTGTGTGTGGGGTGGGGGGGGGGACATGTTGTGGGAAGAGAGAGAGAGAAACGCATGATATCAAATGACAAAAAATAAACAAGTCGAAATAGTCAAAATAGTTTTATCTTAAAAGACGGGGTAGGGGATCATTTTCCAGTGAGACCGAGTCTGGTGTAAGCGGTTCACTATGTGGACAGATCTAACCTACACTCCCAGTTTGATATTTTTAATGTAAACTCTCACTAGAATTGTATGTGTGAGTTTTTGTGTGTGTGTGTGTGTGTGTGAGTTTGTGTGTGTGTGTTTGCAAACACGAGGGCCGTTTTAATGGACACGTTAATTAAACTGTAATTAATCATTCTGTCTGGCTCCCAAATTTGAACAATTACACTTAATCAAATAGAAGTTAATAATAAGGTCCACCGGTACTCGCCCTCGAGCTATGACTTTTGTGTGAAGCAGACAACTGCAGAAAGCTTTGGCATCGCTAACACCACGACCCTGTACCACAGACACATGTGTTTCCAACAAGAAGAAGTAATATCCACAGAAACAAAACCTCAACCTAAACCCTTTACTTTATTTACTCACACACAGGACGTTTCACAATCACTGACACTCCAGTGATGACATGAAATGACTCTCTCATTTTTTTAAAAAAAACATTTTTTTTTATTAAAAACGATTAATTGTCATCAAACAAAACGGAAACAATTCGCAAACTGAAATTTAAAACGTTATTTTAAGCAGCGAATGTTTTTCTTCAAATGAAAAAAAACGACCGTCCGGTGTATAGAAACATATATATAATGTATATAATATATCTCCTTTCAGGAAGTAAAGGCTAAATTAATCGTGAGATTTATTGAGTTTTTAAAAAAGGGGCAATCGACCTAAATGTGATATTGCATTTCGTTTCAGCTTGTTACAAGGCGACGTATTCTCCCCCCACCCCCCCCCCCCCTCCCTCATAATTACAAGCACATACTGTAATTATTCCGTTCCTTTTAATTATTCAGAGGCCGGAGTGAGTGTATCATTGCGGCCAATTATTGCCAGACTCTGGTCATATGAGCTGCTGTGGTCTTAGAGATGATGAAGCCTTGAGTCTCTCTTGGTCTCTGATCAGCCTTAAAAACAGAGAGAGGGGGAGAGAGAGTAACAA